GATCTAGCTAATGCCTTTTTCAGTGTCCCCCTTGACCCTTCCTGCCGTTTTCTCTTCGCCTTTACACATGAAGGACAACAATATACCTGGACTGTAATGCCTCAAGGAGCTCAGAACTCTCCCACACAGTTTGCTCATGCCATGTCTCTAGTTTTGGATCCCTGGCAGAAATCTCATCTGGATGTTGTTCTACTCCAATATGTTGATGACCTCCTTCTCTGTGCTCCTAATCTGCTTATTGCAGAGCGTGACTCAGAAGATCTCCTATGTTTCCTCGCTGCTGCAGGGTGCAAGGCCTCAAAATCAAAGCTACAATGGTGCCGGCCCTCTGTGGTCTTCTTGGGACATTGCCTTTCCCATGGCACCAAACATCTAACCTCACAACGGGTGCAAGCTATCCTGCAACTCCCATTACCTGCAACGCACCACTCTCTTCATGCTTTCTTGGGACTCATCACATACTGCAGGTCCTGGATACCTGAAGCATCCAAACTCATGCAGCCACTCTATGATGCCCTCAGGAGTGAGCCCTTTCACCTCACTGAAGAAACTATTAACTGTTTCCATACTCTGAAAAGAGCTATTGCTTCTGCACCTGCTTTGGGCCTACCCAACTACCACCTCTCTTTCAATTTGTTTGTCTCTGAGAAATCAGGACATGCTTCCGGAGTCCTTACTCAGAAACATGGCTCCAGACAACGGCCTATTGGCTATTTTTCCTGCATGCTTGACCCTGTTGCAAGGGGCAGCCCCTCTTGCCTCCGTGCTGTGTTTGCCGCCAGTGCTCTCCTGGATAAGACTAATGACTTTGTTCTTGGCCATCACCTCACAGTGTTGGCCCCTCATGACATTACTGCTATCCTGCAACAAGTTCAACCCAAACACCTTTCCTCCCAACGCCACCTCCGCCTTCAAACCTCCTTGCTTTTACCTGACAATGTGAAACTCCAGAGATGCCTTACCCTGAATCCAGCCACTCTTCTGCCACTTCCCAAGGGGGGAATTGTGTACCACTGGTATAGCCTGGATATCAACCCAGAAGTTCTAGCAGATCTACAACTACCTGCACTTGCACCTCCACATGATGAACAATCAGTGGCCCTACTTCACTGTACCTTGTGGTTTAAGGATGAACCAGGCCCTGATATGAACTATGAGGAAGAAGTATTCCAACTCAAAGAAATTCAAATTACCCTGACTGACTTGTTTTGGGACCTCACAGGTACCATGCTCATCTTAGTCCACCTCCCAGAGAGTGTGACACATCTCTACCACCATTGGGAAACATCTATCCCACACATATCTTTCACCAGACCTCCCGACATCTCGTGGAAAGACCTAGGCCCGATGGCCAAAACCTGGAGTCAAATGACCCCAGAACAACTGACTTCTACGGGGGTCAACAAAAGGACTATTAATTACTGTACAGCTGGGTACCCCAGGTACCACACAGAAGCCTGTGAGGATCCACTCACCACAAACTGTGACCTCGATATCCCTCATGATTGTTTTGAACAGATGAAAATGGAAACTACACACCTACCGACTGTCTATGAAGCTGCATTACTCAATCCGGACCAAACACTATTTGTGGATGGGTCAAGATTTGCTGATGAACAGGGACAATATCACACTGGGTATGCAGTCACCACAGAATGCCAAGTATTACAAGCAGCTGACCTACAACCAACTAAGTCTGCTCAAGAAGCTGAATTGACAGCCCTAACTGCGGCCTGCAAATTGTCTGAAGGTTTACGTGTCAACATTTACACGGATTCAAGATATGCCCTGGGAGTAGCACATGACTTTGGCTTAATTTGGAAGACCAGAGGATTTCTTACGGCCACTGGTACCCCAGTAAAGCATGGGGCAGCCATTGCAGAGCTGATGGATGCATTGGAACTTCCAGCAGAGGTGGCAGTACTGAAAGTAAAAGCCCATGGAAGACTAGACACAGAAGAAGCACGTGGTAACCACCTAGCTGATCAAGCAGCTAAGGAAGCAGCACGGCAAAGATGGGAAGTGGACAGAAGAGTGGCCACAGATACATTACCTATCTACACTATGCAAACATTGCCTACAGATCTTAGGCTTCTGAAGGAACGGCAAGCTGCTGCCACTCCCCAGGAGAAACAAGGTTGGAAGAATAAAGGAGCTGTACTCCGTGATGATGTTTACACCATCAATCTCAAGTTCTGCTTACCCAGAAGTATGTACCCAGCGGTGGTACAATGGGCCCATGGGCCCGCTCACCTGTCAAAACTTCTGATGAACTCACTGATTGACAAATATTTTGAAGCACCAGGCATCACCACCTTAACACAGAATTACTGTAAATCTTGTACTATATGTGCTAAATGCAATCCTGGAAAGATTATAAAGACCGCACCTAACCACCTAGCCAAGCCACAATACCCCTTTCAGAGGATCCAGATTGATCACATTCAGATGCCAAAGAGTGGACGTTATGAATATGCATTGGTCATAGTGGACATGTTTTCAGGATGGCCAGAGGCCTTCCCAGTGACTAACCTCACCGCAAGGACTACAGCCAAGTATCTTTTGACGGAAATTGTTTGCCGCTATGGAGTCCCAGAAGTGATTGAAAGTGACCAGGGGACCTCCTTTACTGCCTCGCTAACACGGGAAGTCTGGTCAGCACTGGGGGTGACCCTTGCATTCCACACACCATATCACCCACAGAGTAGTGGTAAGGTAGAGCGCATGAATGGCACTTTGAAAGCCAGAATGCTTAAGATGTCACAAGAAACTAACATGCCCTGGCCCGAGAGTCTCCCACTGGCACTGTTTAGTGTAAGGTACACACCTAGGGGAAAATATAGCCTATCACCTTATGAGATTTTGTTTGGTACAGCACCCAGGTTAGGTTGTTACTTTCCTCAGCAGCTTCAGATTCAGTCAGATGCTATGGTAGACTATGTGACCGCTCTCTCTCATGCCCTGACCAAAATACATGCCCAAGTGTTTTCTTCTATTCCAGATCCTGAGTCGAATACAGGTACACACAAGCTGCTTCCTGGTGACTGGGTTATGGTCAAGAAGTTTCTCAGGAAACACACCCTAGAACCGAGATTTGATGGTCCTTATCAAGTGCTCCTGATCACAGCAACGTCAGTTAAACTAGCTGGAAAGAGTTCCTGGATACACGCTTCACATTGCAAAAAAGTGCCTGCCCCAGAAGAGGCTGTTCCTGCTGAAATATGAATTTATTATGTGTCTTGTGTTTTCTTATGTTGTTGCACTTTGCTTGGGCCCAACAAGTGGCCATAACCAAAGATAATCACGTATACACTTTCTGGTACAATTCTTCTAACACTGATGTAGTCACGTACACCTTTGATTACTGTGACATAGTTACTTGTACATTTCCACAAACACAA